GTTCTACCCCCCTCTCTCCCCCTTCTCACGGGGGGAAGGTCCTTTCTGGCGGCGATCATCTTCGGGCGTCAACCATCTGTCAATCCACCCCCCTTCGCACCCCTTCGGAAGGGGGGGGGGGGGGGGGGGGTAACTTTCTCTTTCTCGGAGCCGCATCTTGCTCGCAGGGTGATCTCTTGGTTTTCGCGGTGAATTTCCGAGGAAGGGGTTGGGAACATCGGCGAGAGGGACACCCCTTGACGATCGAGCGCTCCGGGGGCTTCCCAACGTTCAAGCGCCGCGCAAGGCAGCGCGCTACCGACCTGTGCCGTCGGCGGCGCCGTATGAGCGAGCTGCTCGCCGCTCCATCTGCTTTTGGCCTGGGGAAGTCTCGGCTGGAGCTCACGCATGGCACCCTCGAAGGATTGGCGGGCGGGGGAGCGCGAGGGGGCGGGTCTGGCGCCCCCTCGCATTTCCATGTGCTCTACGGACTTCTCTGGTGCCATTAGCACCCCTGCAACGCGTGGGCCTAACCTGGCTTGGCGCCCCCAGGCGCTCCCAGGCGCTCCCAGGCGCTGCCAAGCGCCCCCCGCCGCTCCCAGGCGCTCCCAAGCGTTCCCAGGCCGAGCTGAGGGGGTACGGGTGTCACGAGCGGCCTGGCCTGGCCAAGCGTTCCCAAGCGCTCCCAGGCGCTCCCGGGCGCTCCCAGGCGCTCCCAAGCGCTCCCAGGCGCTCCCAAGCGCTCCCAAGCGCTTTCAGGGCTCCCAGGCGCCCCCAGGCGCTGCCAAGCGCTCGCCGGCGCTCCCGCGCTTGTCTGGCCGGGCTCTGAACCCCCGCTCCCAAGCGCTCCCAGGCGCTCCCAGGCGCGCCCAGGCGCTCCCAAGCGCACCCAAGCGCTTTCAGGCGCTCCCAGGCGCCCCCAGGCTCTCCCAAGCGCGCCCGGGCTTTCCCAGGCGCTCCCAGGCCCTGCCAGGCGCTCGCAGGCGCTCCTAGGCGCTTTAAGCGCTCCTAAGCGCTTTCGGCGCTCCCAAGTGCTCCCAGGCGCTCCCAAGCGTTCCCCGGCGCTCCCGAGCTTTTGTGGCTTAGCTGAAAAAGGTACAAGTGTCACGAGCCGGCATGGCCTGGCCTGGCGCCCCCAAGCGCTCCCAGGCGCTTCCAAGCGCTCCCAGGCGCTGCCGAGCGCTTTCAGGCGCTCCCAGGCGCTCCCAGGCGCTCCCAGGCGCTCCCCGGCCTTCCCAGGCTTGCCTGGCCGGGCTGAACGGGTAGGAGTGTCACGGGCGGGCCTGGCCTGGCCTGGCGCTCCCGAGCGCTCCCAGGCGCTCCCAGGCGTTCTCAGGCGCTCCCAGGCGCTCCCAAGCGCTCCCAAGAGCAGGCGCTCGCTCCCAGGCGCTCCCAGGCTGGGAACGCTTGGGGGCGCTTGGGAGCGCTTGGAAGCGCTTGAAAGCGCTTGGCAGCGCTTGGGAGCGCGTGGGAACGCTTGGGGGCGCTTGGGGGCGCCCGGCAGCGCATGGGAGCACCTGGCAGCGCCTGGGAGCGCCTGGGAGCGCCTAGGCGCGCTTGGGAGCGCCTGGGAGCGCTTGGCAGCGCTTGGGAGTGCCTGGGAGCGCCTGGGACCGCCGGGAGCGCTTGGGTGCGCCTAGGAGCGCTTGGGAACGCTTGGGAGACGCTTGGGAGCGCTTGGGAGTGCCTGGGAGCGCCTGGGAGCGCTTGGGAGCGCTTGGCAGCGCGGAGCGCTTGGAAGCGCTTGGGAGCGCATGGGGGCGCTTGGGAGCGCAGCGCCTGGGCGCCCTGGGAGCGCCTGGGTACGCCTGGGAGCGCCTGGGAGCGCCTGGGAGCGCTTGGGAGCGCGCTTGGGAGCGCATCGGAGCGCTTGGGAGCGTCCGGGAGCGCTTGGCAGCGCTTAGGAGCGCCTGGGAACGCTTGGGAGCGCCTCGGAACGCTTGGGGGCGCTTGGCAGCGCCTGGGAGCGCTTGGGAGCGCCTGGGAGCGCTTGGGAGCGCCTGGGAGCGCCCGGGAGCGCCTGGGAGCGCCTGGGAGCGCTTGGGAGCGCTTGGGAGCGCTTGGAGGCGCTTGAGAGCGCTTGGCAGCGCCTGCGAGCGCCTGGGAGCGCTTGGGAGCGCCTGGGGGCGCCTGGGAGCGCCTGGGAACGCCTGGGAGCGCTTGGGAGCGCCTGGGAGCGCTTGGGAGCGCCTGGGAGTGCTTGGGAGCGCCTGGGAGCGCCTGGGAGCGCTTGCGAGCGCTTGGGAGCGCCTCGGAGCGCCTGGGAGCGCCTGGGAGCGCCTGGAGCGCTCGGCAGCGCCTGGGAGCTCCTGGGAGCGCCTCGGAGCGCCTGGGAGCGCTCGGGTACGCTCCCAAGTGAAGTTTATCATTTCATAGGGGCCAAGAGCGAACCGCCCGGGCAAAGGAGACCAGGGTTCAGGGTTATCTCTGAGGCAGAAGCTCAGCGCGCGCGCTGGCCCGATAACGACATGGGCGCTCGACTATCGCTCGCTTTCAGAGCGCAAAAGGTTCGACATCGGTGCGCGACCCGTCGAGGGGTCGCGCAGCAGCTTAGGGTTCGGGGCTTACGGATTAGGGTTCGGGGCTTTAGGACTTAGGGCTTAGGGTTCAGGGCTTTAGGGTTCGGGGCTTAGGGCTTCGGTTTCGGGGCTTAGGGTTTAGGGTTCGGGGCTTAGGGCTTGCGGTTCGAGGCGTAGGGATTAGGTCTTAGGGTTTAGGGTTGGGGGCTTAGGGATTAGGGCACAGGGCTCGGGGCTTTAGAGTTCGGGGCTTGGGGCTTAGGGTTCGGGGCTTACGGGTTAGGGTTCGGGGCTTTAGGGTTCGGGGCTTAGGGCTTAGGGTTCAGGGCTTCGGGCTTCGGGCTTTGGGCTTAGGGTTCAGGGCTTGAGCTTTCGGGGCTTAGGGTTTAGGGTTCGGGGCTTGGGGCTTAGGGTTCAGGGCTTTAGGGTTCGTTTTTTTTCTTTTTTTGAGGGGGGGGGGTCGGGGCTTAGGGATTAGGGCTTAGGGCTTACGGCTTAGGGCTTAGGGTTCATGACTTAGAGCTTCGGGTTAAGGGCTTTAGGGTTCGGGTCTTAGGGCTTAGGGTTCGGGGCTTAGGGCTCAGGGATTCGGGCTGAGCTCGGGGATTAGGGCTTAGGGATCTTGGTTTAGGGCTTCGCGCTTAGGGCTTTAGGGTTCAGGGCTTGGAGCATGGGGCTTAGGGCTTAGGGGTCAGGGGCTTAGGGTTCGTGGCTGAGGGCGTAGGGTTCGTGGTTCAGGGATTAGGGCTTAGGGCCTACTAGGCGTGGCCACGAGTACACCGTGACCGCGAACCCACCTGCGGTGGCCGTCACTCCCACCCGCAAGCCACCCCACCATAAAGATCATCTCTCCCCTCGTTAGAACCACATCGAGTACAGCGTCGACGACGACGACGACGACGACGACGGCGGCGACGACTGATGTGCGATCCAGATGGCACGCGAGTGCTCTAACGGGCGGGAAGAGTCGGGTCGGGCGGAAGAGATTCTGCACGCATGCGCAGCAAATGCTATTTTGTGGAATAGGTGGATCGGCTCGCAACGGAAGGCACTTTGTAGTGTAACATACAAGAGATTCTGCACGCATGCGCAGGAAGTGCTATGTTTCGCAATAGATGGAGCCAGTTTACATGACGGGGTCGCACTTTGTATTGTAAAATACATGAGATTCCTCACGCGTGCTCAGGGAATGTTTTTTTTGCAATAGATGGAGCCGGGTCGCAACGGGGACTGGGCATTTTGTGATGTAAAATACAGGAGATTCTGCACGCATGCGCAGCAAATACTATTTTTTGCAAGTGATGGAGGGGGGTCGCAACGGTGACTGGGCACTTTGTAGTGTAAAATACAAGAGATTCTGCACGCATGCTCAGGAAATGCTATTTTTTGCAGTGGATGGAGCCGGTTTGCATACGCGCTTGTTTTATTGTAACTAGGGTTTAATAGTTATAGGATTAGAAATTTAGGGGTTAGGGTTCGAGGGTGAGGGCTTGAGGCATAAGGGTTAGGGGTCAGGGCTCAGGTCTGAGGGGTGAGGGCTTCGGGTTCACTGCTCCGGGCTTAGGGGTTAGGGGTTATGGTTTAGGGTTTGGGTTTCAGGGCCTGGGTTTAGGGGTCAGGGTTTAAGGCTTCGGTCGTAGGACTTGGAGCTTGGGGCTTGCGAGTGGCTTACGCGGAGTTCCGGTGCTAGTGTTTCGGCGGTTCGGTTCCAGAGCCAGCGGGAACGAAAGGGGGGGGGGTCCCCAGTCTGAGTCCAAAGGGGGGGGGGGTTGAACCCCCCCCCGCTTTTGAAAGGGGGGGGGGTCCGCGGCGATGAATCGAGAAGGGGCGGGGGAGGGGTGTCCTGGACGAGAAGGGGGGGTGGGTGAGGGGGGGTTCCTGGACGACGGATCGGGGAAAGGGGGGGAGGGGGGGGAGGAGTTCCGAACCCCCATTCCCCCCCTCTGGGTAATCAAGTGGCGCGCCCTCTTCGTGCTTCAACGGAGCGCATGGTGCTTTGCCGAGACTCGGTGCATGTTGGGCGACATACCTTCTGATCGGGGCCTGGTGCGAGGTTCAATCTACTAGGTTCGCGATTGCCTCTCTCTGAGACTACACACGCCCATCCGACGGGCTTCAGTCTTTACGGATAGACCCTACGAACATCTTCATATGCGTGGAGTGATCGATCTCATCCTCATCCTCATCATCACTGTACGCCTCTTATTGTCTGACCCCTTTGTTCCTCCTCATCCTTCCTCCTTCCTCATCCTCCTCTTCATCATCATTGTCATCCTTCCTCTGTCTCCTCATCATCGTCCTCACCCATTTTCATCGTTCCCCTCATTTCCATGCATGCTCCTTCCCCTCCCTTTCCCTCCGCCTCCTCTTCCTGCTGCTTCTCCGCCACCGCCTTGCGCATTTACATGTACTGTCCCTACCCTTCCTGCCCCGGTTTCTTCCTCCGTCTTAGCCTCTTCCGCTTATTTCTCCCTAGCATTCTCTTGCTCCCCCCTGTCGCAGGAGGTGGTGACCGAGAAGCAGGCGCAGGAAAAGTAGCGGGCTTGCGGACAACCGGCCCCTGGAGACCCTGGCGTCGGGGGTGTGTGGCGAGGAGGTGGATGAGGATGAGGAGGCAGGAGGAGGCAGGAGGAGGCAAGAGGGCGGGTGAGGTGGAGGGGAGGGGACGCAGGATCGGGCGGAAGGTGAGGATGAAGAGAAAGAGTAGGAGGAGGAGCAGTGCGGTGGAGGAGCGGCAGCAGGATGGTGATGACGATGTTGGGAGGAGGGAGCGGCGGAGGAGGGGTGGTTATGGAGGGGACAGGGACAGGAATCAGAGGAGGGGGAGACGGGATGAGGAACAGGACGGTCACAGACATGGTGAGGAGAAGGGGTGCGGGGCGATGGAGAGGAGAAGCAGGAGGGAGAGGAACCAAAAAGGGAGGAGGTGGGGAAGGAGGAGGATGGTGAGATGAGATGCGGGAGAGCTGTAGATGGGGGAGAATAACGGGGAGATGAAGTGGGGGAGGAAGAATGAGGGAGATGAGATGGGGAGGAGCAGTAGCATGATGAGGATGATGATGATGATGATGATGATGACCCTGATGATGATGCTGATGGTGTTAATGATGTTGCAGATGATGATGGTGATGATGAGGATGATGATAGTAATGATGAGGAGCAGTAGCATGATGAGGATGATGATGATGATGATGATGATGATCCTGATGATGATGATGCTGATGGTGTTGATGATGCTGCAGATGATCATGGTGATGATGAGGATGATGATAGTAATAATGATGATGATGATGATGATGATGATGCTGATGATGATGATCATGATCATGATCATGATCATGATCATGATCATGATCATGATCATGATGATCATGATGATCATGATGGTGGTGATGTTGATGATGATGATGATGATGATGATGATGATGATACCGTTGCTGATGATGATGATGCTGATGATGATGATGATGATGATGATGATGATGATGATGATGATGATGATGATGATGCTGATGGTGGTGATGGTGGTGGAGATGGAGATGGTGATGAGAATGATGAGGAGGAGGAGGTGGAGGACGAGGAGGAGGGGGGTGGAGGAAGAGGAAGAGGAGGAGGGGGGTGGAGGAGGAGGGGGAAGGAGGAGGAGGGAAAGGAACGGGGGTAGGGGGTGGAGGAGGAGGAGGGAGGTGGAGGAGGGGGCAGGGGGTGGAGGAAAAGGAACGGGGGGAGGATTTGGGAGGGGAGGACGAGGGAGAGCGTGAGGAGGACAGAGAGGACGAGGACGAAAGGAAGGAGGAAACAGCGGACTGGAGGGGGATCGGGATAAGGTGGTGGGAGGAGGCGGATGAGGAGGAGGAGGAGGAGGAGGAGGAGGATGGGGATACGGAGGAAGGGTGGGGGAACGTGGAATGGCAGCAGGAGTAGGATAGGGAGAGCGGGTGGGACAGGCGAACATGAAAGGAGGATGAGGAGGAGGAGGAGGAGGAGGAGGAGGAGGAGGAGGAGGAGGAGGAGGAACGAGCTGTGGTCCAATCCCTTCATTCGAAAGCCTCAGGCGATTGCTGAGCTCTCAGGGCATCTTGCAGCCTCTGACTCTGTCCAGGCGCCCCTTCGGGCCAACCTGTAAGGCTCGCTGAGACCAGGGCAGGTTGTCGGGCTCTGCCTGAGCGCCGCTTTGGGGCGACAGCCCAGATTCGCAGAGGCCAGGGGGAATCGATTCTGGGTCAGAGTTTGGCCGTGCCCTGGAATGCCCCTTCGTTGTGGAACGTCTTTGTTCCATGATGTGCAGCATTCGTTCGGTCGCTCGTTTTCTTTCTTCGTGGCTCCTTTTGTTTGTCCTCTCTCTCTCTCTCTATCTCTCTCGTTCTATCTCTTTCTCTCCCTCCCTCTCCCTGGATGAGCCATACACTGTGAGGGCCCTGCGGCCCGTGCCGCCGATCCAGAAGGACGACGATGAGGACCACGACGACAACGAAAACGATGAGCTGATGACCCCGCCACAGGCTCGGGACATGCGGCGGGCGGCGGTGGGAGGAGGAGGAGGAGGAGGAGGAGGAGGACGAGGTGGAGGAGGAGGAGGAAGAGGAGGAGGGAAGACGGGGGGAGGGGGAGGGGGAGGGGGGGAGGAGGAGGAGGAAGAGGTGGAGACGAAGGAGGAGGAGGAGGACGAGGAGGATGAGGAGGAGGAGACGAAGGAGGAGAATGAGGACGAGGAGGAGGAGAAGGAGGAGAAGGAGGAGGAGAAGGAGGTAGAGGAGGAGGCGGACAAGGAGGAGGAGGAGGAGAAAGAGGAGGAGGATACATTTGTTGAGGAAGAACATGAGGAGAAGAGGAGGAGAAGGAGAAGGAGGAGGGGAAAGAAAAGGAGGAGGAGGAAAAGGAGGAGGTGTAGAACGAGGAGACAGAGAAGAAGGAGACAGAGATGGAGGAGAAAGATGAGGAGGAGGAGGATAAAGATGAGGATGAGGAGGAGGAGAAGGAGGACGAGGAGGATGAGGAGGAGGAGAGCCGTCTGTCTTTTCGGGGGCGGGCTGGCGCTCGGGCAGAGGCCAGGGCCGGGGCCTGTCGCTCGTTTTTGTTGCAGTTCCTCTCTCTAACGTGTTGCATATGCACATGCACAGACGCACGCACATAGAACATTCACATGTGCAAACATGCTTCTATACGTAAGCGTAATGATCTATAATGGCGCATATTCGTATGGATGTGCATCCATAGTTCCCCCTGTACGGCTTGCCTGGGGAACATCATCTGAATTGCCTATTCCTTTTAGTCGAACCTGAGTGGAGACGAGGTGAATGTGGCAACTCCGGTGAGATGAGCCCTCCACTTCTATATTCGCAGAGGCAGGCTGGGCGATACGCATCGCATCATCACCGCATACAGTTTCTCTTTCGCACCATGGGTCCATACTGATTGGCTGGCGTGGTATAAGTGATCGCCGCTTTGTCTGTTGCATCTGCGCCTACCGCGATGGTTTCCTCACGCGGCTGTGGTGTATAGGCGTATGCATGATGCTGATTCGTTCATGCTGCTCCTCTGTATGGGTGTTCGTCGGGCGGTATCCCTTCTGATGCATTCCAGCATTATGATTCGGTACCTTCTTGTTTGTGGTGTGCTGACCTCTTTGTACTCGCATGAGTTTGTCCGTTCACATGGGGCCCCAAGTTGCACTCGGCGCATTTACAGTCCGCCTGGTTGAGCGCTGGATACAGAGCACAGGCGGCCGCATGTCTTGCCTGCGCTCGGCATTCGTGTGCCTAGGGCGCGGCCGTCCCACTCATGCAAATCTTGCGGTTTGTGTGTGTGTGCGTGTGTGTGCGTGAGTGTGTGTGTGTGTGTGTGTGTCCTTGTTGATTCAAGAGGCTTACGCCAGTCCGCCGACCCCCAGAAGAGGGAACACGTCCACTGGTGAGGCTTTCTGGGGCCTCTTGGGGACCATTTGGGGGCTTCTCTTGGGCTTCTCAGGGGCCTCTTGGGGGAGTTTCCAAGGCTTTTTGCTGGCCGTCTCGGGGGCCACTGTCAGGGCCCTTGCTATATAGGAAGACGGGCCAGGCGCATCGCCCAGTCGTGTGCCGCGCGTGTCACGATGCGCGCACGGGGGCGAAAAAGTTTGAATGCTCCGCGTGCCCACCGAACGGGGACGGGAAGAAACCAGCGTTTTCAGACGGGGGCCATTTGTCGAAAGACCAGAAGAAGAATTATTTCAAGCGAAACAACCCAGTTGTGTGCGCGAAGTGTTTTAAAGCGGGACGAGCGCCGCGGAGAGACCCTCCGAAACGCCCGGCGGAACCAAGTGACGAGCATTGCGACAAGGCACGGAAGTTGCGAGGAATCTGACCGCTGGGGACGGGATGGATAAGGGGGACGTGGAGGAGGGAGGATGGGGGAGCAGCCAAAGGCGGAGAAGGTGAAAAGTGAGCCAGTGGAGGGAATACGAGACAGAAAGCTGAGAGGGGAGACGGGAGGAGGGGGCGGAAGAGGAGGATGAGAAGGAGCAGGAGAACACGACGAGGACGACAATGGCGGCGACAGACTCGACGGCGTAGGCTGGGCACCTTTTTGGGGCCATCTTGGGGGCTTCGTTGACCGTTGTGGGAGCCTCTGGCGCCGTCGTCGTGAGAATCCTCTCGGGGGCCTGCGGGAGGCAGTTTGGAGGCTTCTGGGGAGCTGTTTTGGGGCAGCTTGGGGCTTTTTTTGGGCTTGTTGGGGGCCTCTTGGGGGCTTCTTGGAGCCTCTTGGAGGCCTCTTGGGGCCTCCTTGGCGCCTTTTGGGGCGGAAGGCTAGAATTTTAGGTTCGTGGTCCCCGTCTGGAGCCTTTCTTGGGCCCCTCTGTGGGCCCTCTTGGACTGTCTGAAGGCCCTCTTGAGCCGTTTTGAGGCGCTCTTGGGCCGTGTTGGGGCCCACTTGGGAGCCTCTCGGGTCGTCTTGATGCCGTCTTGGGGGCTTCTTTCGCCGTCTTGGAGCGTCGGAAGCCCGAAAAAACGCGAAGGCCAAAAACGTTGAAAAAACCAATGGAAATCGACGATTTTGGCCTCTTGGGGCCATCTTGGGAGGCGTCTTGGAAGCTTCTTGGGGCGTCTTGGAGGCATCTGGGGCCATCTGGAGGCCATCTTGACCGTCTTCGAGTGTTTTTTCGGCGACTCGGGGCCCTCTTGGACCGTCTGCAGAGCTTCTTGGGAGCCTCTTCGCTCGTTTGCGGCCCCCCCAGCAGACTCTCTGGAGCGGATGACCCCCCCCGGACCGCGCCGGCGGATCCCGGGGAATCCGGCCGGACCCCCCCCCCCCCCCTCCAAAACGACCGGACCAGGCTCCGGGGGGAGGGGTTTGGGGAGGGGGGAAGCATCTCACACGCCGATGACCCCAAGGGGTCGGCGGATATTTGCATCCTTGCTTCTTTTTCTGAAGGGCCGGCCGCGCGAGCTTCCCTTTTATCTTTGACCGACCGTCTCCGCCTCGTCGCTGCGCGCGAGGCCGCGATCGTGTGGACGTGTGATTGTGTCTTGTCCGCCCGTGGCGCCTTTGCCTTATGCATTTGCCCCCGGGCTGTCTGCGCAGCTGTTCCCATGCCGGGCTCCTGGCTCCCATGCCGGGTGGTCCTCTTTCTCGGGCGGCTGCCGTTGCTGCTTCTCCCCGCGCCCCGCTTGTCGGGTGGACCCTGCCGTTTTGCCTCGTCCTCCCCCTCCCCTCCTCCCTCTGTCCCCCCTTTGGCCCCGCCTGTCCCCTCACGGCTGCCCCCCCGCGGGCGTAGCAGCCGACCCCCCCTCGATGGACATCCGGCGCCTCCCCCGCCCGCGTGAGCCTGGCGGGTTCGCTCGCCTCCTCGAGCCTCTTTGTTACGCCGCGCCGCCGCGCGCGTGGCCGCGACGCCAAAAAGTGTGTGTGTGTGTGGGCTTGTGTGCAGCGGCTGTCGCTGCTGTCGCTTGCCCGAGCGCGCGTGCGGACTGCCTCTGCCGCGCTGCGACGTAGACAAGTATCGAAACAAGTGTGCAGCAGCTGTCCCTCCTCCCTTTCCCTCCCTCCCCCCGCGCCTGCTTTCCTCGGCGCAGGCTCACCTTGCGCTTGTTTAACACAGTTATATGTGTCTGTCTGTTTGCTTGTCCGTCTGTCTTTCTGTCCGTCTTTCTGTCTGTCTGTCTGTCTGTCTGTCTGTCTGTCTCTCTGTCTGTCTGTCTCTCTGTCTGTCTGTGTGTAGGTGTGTGTGTGTGTGTGCGTGTACGTCCCAGCTTTCTGGGAGACAGTCCGTCTCAGCCTCCTCCGTCCGAGATTGCAGCCAGGTTCCGCGCACTGTCGCTGTTCGAGCGGAGAAACGTGGTTGACGGCCTGGCTGGCGAAATCGACGCCCCCACGGAGGACGGAAGGGGAGCAGAGGGGCCCATTGCATCAGGGGCAACGATGGGGGGGGGGGGGATGCGCTCCCGCCAAGGAAAGTGGCGATTTTACTCTCGGGGGCGCATCGCCGATCTATCGGCGACGCATCGCCGATCCCAGCTCGATGCTGGGGTCCGAGGCTGCCCACAGTCAACCCGCGGGTAACCTCGCAACCTTCCCAAGGGAGGACGAGGACGAGGACGAGGATGACGAGGAGGAGGAGCAGGAGGAGGATGAGGAGAAGGAGAAGGAGACCTCCTCCTCCCTCCTCCCTCCTCCCTCCTCCTCCTCCCCCCTCCTCCTCCTCCTCCTCGCTCCCCCCTTTATCGGCGCCCCTCCTTGCAGCGCAGAGCACATACACGACCGTGTTTTGTTACACGGCGTTGACCCCCCCGCGTTTCAAGCTGTTTCGTTTCGGGCTGGCGTTTTGAGCGTCCCAGCGGCAGAGAAGCCAGGAGGACGAAACCAGTCGATCGACTCTTTGGACACTTTCGGAAAGAAGCCGAGTGAACATCCCAGTCGACGAAGCAGGGAGGAGGATGAGGAGAAGAGGGGGGGGATGATGAGGAGGCAGGAGGTGGAGGAACAGGAGGAGCAGACAAGGGGGAAAGGGAGGGGGGACGAAGGGAGAACGGAGGACGATGAGGAGGGAAGGAGGAGGAATACGGGCATGTGGGGACCGTGCAGCGGGGCTCCATGGATGTTTCAATCGACCGGTCCTGGGACGTTCATGTCCGCTGCAAAAAGAGCAACGACTCCCGCAATTTTGCCTACGTGATGCTTCACGGCACCTGCATCGAACTCGACGGTCGTTTGGCATACCCGCCTTGCCCGTCCAGCATGCTCACGCTCGTGCCAATCCGAGCGATCGTGGCTGCACATCGATGAGAGTTTGTAGGTGCCATGCTGTCCAAACGCAGTTCTGGGGTCCGGAACGCCAACAGTACTGGACGACGACGGTAAGCACGATCACGGCAACAGCAACGACGGCGGCCACCACAACGATGAACATGGCCATCACGGTTTTGACAGTGGCATGGACTACGACGAGTGCGACCATGTCGACGACGGCTACGACCCCTCGACCTATCCTTTGGCACATCCATATCCACCTGCCTTGCGGGCGGGCGTGTTTTAGGGCGTCTGCCCTGCCAACCTTATAGCCTTTTCCTTCGGAGGTGGATTGGCCAGTGCTCTCTCACACCCCTCTTTCACTCGACCAGCACCGAACCAGGGCCAATGCCACGCGCCCCAACAGGAGTGTCAGAGAACGATACAAAGCGCGCTGTGTCGCAAGCTCTGGATCACGTAGGGGGGGAGCATAATGCTTGGTGTGTGTGTGTGCGTGTAGGCCCACCACCCTCTTCAAGATCGTATGCGAGGCGTGCGTTGCGGGACAGCCTTGGCCCATGCGCGGGCGCCCCGCGATCATGTTGCATTGTTAGTGTGACAGGGATGACAGGGGTGCCCTGCCACGCACGGCGCACCTCGCAGGTGTCGCGTACCTGTCCAGCGTCTACATTGATCTCCGATGTTTGTCGACGATTGCCTCTGCCCATGTCCAGATTCGGGTGCTACTTGTATGGAGGGATGGCGGGTAGGAGTGAGTGAGATGGCCATCGGATGGGGGTAGCTTGACACCTCCCCCTTCCCCCTCCACTGGACCTGGGCGGGGCTGGCTGCCACCATGGCCCAATATATTCCGACATGCCCCCACGTCACGCCGAGTCGGAAATCCTTGCAGACGGTGGCACGACCACCCCATAAACCCCTCTGGTTGGCTACGGGCTTCCCAGGGAGACCCCCAAGATGCCAAGCTCAGCAAGTGACTTGATGTGTTGCAGGGTTTCGTGCGTCTCGCCTGTTCGCTTCCAAGTGGCTCCTGGGTCCTCAAGATGTCCCAAGGATGCCCAAGAGGGGGCCATGACGGGCCCAATACGGCTCAAAGACAACCAAGAGGGCTCGAAGAGGCGGCACGCCGGGCTCTGATTGAGTGGGGTACGTGTATGTATGTATACATGTATGTTTGCATACATATATATTTATATTTATATATACAATCATACAAGTATATATGCATTTATATATGTATATATACATATATATACATATATTTATATTCATATACAGATATAGCGCACAGACGGTGCGTGTGTGCGCCAGTGAAGGCCGGAACCAGTAATTTATTAAATTTAATCGCTTCGCTCAGTCCGCCGGCCCTGGAGCCCTCTTTAGGGCCTCTTGGGGGCCTCTTGGGGACCTCTTGGGAGTCTCTTGGGGCTCCTTGGCGGCGTCTTGGAGGACCCCAGGGCCTGTTGGGGGGCTTTTGGGGGCCTATTGGGGCGGGAGGGGGGGTAGTCGATTGCGTCTCCCCCCTCGGCGGCCACAATCCTCGTGAGGGAGGCCGAAAAATGGCCCTCCCCTGGAGTGCTCTGGTGGCTTCTCCCGGGACCTTGCCGGGGTACTTTTTTCGTCCAGGGACCCCCAGGGGCCGCTCCGCGCGCGCGAACTAGAAATATTGTTAACCAGTTACCGGAGATCTTAGCACGCCTCTGGCCCGTTGGGCCGGCGAGTTGCGGCTGTACAGGACGAGGCCGCACCAGCGGGGTACCAGCCGAAACTCTACACACCCTTGGCGCACGAGGCAGCAACGAGGCTGCACCAACCGTGCACCAGCCGAACCCCCGACACACCCACCCAGCGTACGAGGCGGCAACGAGGCCGCAACGAGGCTGCACCAACCAGGCACCAGCCGACCTCGACACCCAGCCAGTGCACGAGGCGACAAGGAGGCCGCACCAACCTGTCATCAGCCGAAGGCCCCACGCATCCACCCAGCGCGTGAGGCGGCAACGACGCGGCAACGAGGCTGGACCAACCAGGCACCTGCCGACAACCTGGCACACCCACCCAGCGCACGAGGCGGCAACGAGGGGGACCACGAGGCACCAGCCGGAACCCCGCCCGGCACACGCATCCAATTCTTTGGTGACATGTGGCAAGCCCGAAGTGCAAGCGTCTTTTTCGGGGAGTAGATATACAAGCGGAGACACTGGCAGGAGATGAGTGGTTCTGGATGTTCGCCGCATTCCTGTGGGGCTGTTTAGGTAATTTGGCGTCAAGAGGACCTCGGGTCGCGTCGCCTCAGATGGCTTCACCCATGGCTCAATCGCGCCCAAGAGACGGATCCTCCTACACGCTTCCAAGATGCCACAAAACCGCCCGAAGACACATCCAAGTGGCCACGCAGCGTCCCAAGGAGACCCTGACAGAGCGGGGCTAATTGAGTTTTCCCTTCTGCCTTTCTCTGATCGATGTAGCCCGAGGTGGCCCCAAGAGGGGCCTCATGGCCCCCAAGACTGCCTTGAGAGTGCCCTGTGAGCATGTGAAATTGCCTGCATAAGGTTTTATCAGAACTCTCAGAAACGTCCAACATGTAAGTCGAGCCAAAAATCAGCGAAGGCTCCCGTGGCAGATTCCTGTCGTTGTCCTCCCCGTCCTCTTTAATTTATTCGTCGCCCTGTTCTCTCTCGTCCGTCTGCTGCTGCTGCTGCTGCTGCTGCTCCTCCTCTCCCTCCCCCCCCCGTCAATCCTACTTCCTCATCCCCTGCCTCCTCATCCATTTCCTCCTCCGCCTCCTTCCACGGCAATCTCAGCATTTCCACCCCTGGGAAGTCTGCTTGCTCATTGGGGATGCGAGGTATGTGCGTGTCTTGCACGCGTGATCCTCACCAACACAGTTTCATGAAAGCTTCGCTTCGGAGCGTCTGAGGTTCTGTCCGAAGCGGCTTCGGTTCGGATCGGTCCGGTATCATAAACATGCTGGTCTGGTTCTTTACCGGCGTCGTGAAGTGCTTGGCCTGGTTCAGTCCAGCTCGGCGCATGTGTTTTTTTCCGTTTGTTCCAGGTCGGTGGTGGTTGCCCCAGCCAAGCTAGGCATATTGTATGTTTCATTAACCCCTCGAACCAGTCTTCTCCTCCTCCTCCTTCTCCTCCTTCTTACTCGGTCCTCCTTCTCGACTTTCTCCTTCCGCCCAACCCTCCTTGTCCCAGGAAGAGTCTCCAGGAGGGATGGACATTCGGAGGTCACATATGTTCTGCACACAGCTTGAATCTGTCGTCCGTTGTGCGGCGTCTTCCTGCCGTTGCCGCTGCCGCTGCCGCCGCCGTTGCCGTCGCTCGTCCTAAAGGGTCTTGTGAGAGGATGTTATGTGAGGGTCCTTGTGGTAAGTTCTGTTGGGGTCCATTAGGGGGAAGCTTCGGCGAGTATCGAATGAACTGGGAACATGTTTTGAATGTGGCGTTTGTTCCCCCGCCTGGATTCCAAACTAATTATTTCCCGTCGGCTCTCTGCCCCGGTCTTTGGGATGGTCCTCGCGGCAAGAACACCAGGAGCTATGTTTGGAGCCCGTCTCTTGGGGTGCGTTGTTTCACGGGGCTTGGTTGGCGTCTCTACGGGTGTGCAGTACGCGCGGAAGCGCCACGAGACATCGGTTCCAAGATGAGTTCCCAAGTGCGTTAAATAAGGTGACGCCATATTTTCCTTAGGCACATGCACAACAAGGACACATTTACGTATACACATATATATACACACCCCATACGTGCCTCCCTGTGACCCCCCTCTTGGTGGGTCTGTGACCTGTGAAGTGAGTGTGCTCTGTGTGTCGTCCTGTTGATTAGTGATGTCTGTCTGTTCTGTGCATGTGCAGTGTGCTGGCAGTGCTGGCATGTGATGGTGGTGCTGTGTTACGGTATGTGATCTTGGTGTGAGTGTGCTATGTGCGTGTTGCCCGTCTATGGTATCGCGCGTCTTCTGGATGTTTTGGCTGGTCTGGTAGGGCGTGAGGATGTGTGCTGTTTTGTTGTAGTTTTTCACCACATTTCAACCACGGGTATGTATGTTTGTATATATATATGTGTGTGTGCGTATCACTTACGTGTTCTAGCCACGTCTGTCAATGTCGTTTTATTGTGGTCTGTAGGTGCACATGTTGTTTATGTCCAGTGGGTAAGTGTGTCTAGATTGTGATACGGCTTTCATGTTGGATGCCATGCTGGCTTGATGTGAGATGTATTGGTCGGGCTGTTCTGTTTGGTTTCGTTGGTAACGTATGCTTTCTTTATGCAATGTCACGAATATTGTAATTTTCGGATGACCTCCATGCTGGGTAAATTGGACGCGTGTTACACATGCTTGGTTTGGATATTGTTGTGTGAGTATGTTCCGTTTGCCCGCCAGTTGCGTTGCTCAGTTGAGCGCATCGATTAGATTATCGTTTGTCGAGGACGCGAGGCGGGATGCCCGATGTCATGGGAGAGTCTTCGGGTGTTGCGGCCGAGGCATTCCGGGCTGACGAGTGGGCCAGGAGTTTTAGTCTACCGATCCCGACCCCTCAGTAAGGGCAAACATCTTGCTCGCACCTCGATCCACAGCTATCGCTCGACGATCACGACGACGGCGACGACCCGCGCCAGCCTCCAATGCCCTTGAAATCGCCCAGGAGTTGTTGGATGGCACTGGGAACCGGTCGAACTCCCCTGGGATCCGACGTTGCGAAACATTCCAACATCGCGGAAAATCACGCCTGTTGAGGAGGCGGAGGAGGAGGAGGAGGAGGAGGAGGACGATTAGGAGGAGGAGGAGGAGGAGGAGGAGGAGACCTCCATCTTCCCGCGCCATCTGTCCAGCCGGATCGATGCGTGATGGTCCTGGGGCCCGAACTCGGGCGACAACGCCCATGCGTGGAAGCCTCTGGGAACCGTTCGAGCTCCCCGGGGGACCCTCGAGCCCTCGAGTCACCAGATGATGGGCCTGTTTCCACCACCACCACCACCATAAGCTGGAGGGGGAGGAGGAGGAGGAGGAGGAGAAGGAGGAGGAGGAGGAGAAGGAGGAGGAGGAGGAGGAGGAAGAGAAGGAGGAGGAGGAGAGGAGGAAAAGGAGGAGGCGGAGGAGGCGGAGGAGGAGGAGGAGGGAGGAGGAGGAGGAGAAGGACCCCCTCCCCCTCCAACTTATGGTGGTGGAAGTGGTTGTGAAAAACAGGCCCATCAACCAGAGAAGAAAGGACCACCACCACCAGCTAAGGGGCCGGCCGCTCGCCCTCCCCCCCAAGCTGGCGGCACCCCGTTCCGGGCGGGCCCCCACAGAGTGCCCGGAGCAGAGTGCCACCAGCTCAGGAGGGGGCTCTGGGAAGCGAATTCTGTGGAGTTCTGGCTGTGATGGCTCTTGTCGCTCCCATGATCGGGAACCTCCGAGAGCCCTCGCAGGTCGCCGACGACGACGGCGGCAGCGGCAGCGGCGGCGGCCGGCGGCTGGCGGCCAGCGGGCAGGCTCGCAGCGGGAGCTGGGAGCGCCTGGGCGGTGGCCGCCGCTCCCTCCGCGCCTCGGCTGGCAGCAAGTGCTCGGCGTCCAGCGGGCTGTCCGGGGCGTCCGACCACTCGGCGAG